ATGTGTCTCTGAAGCACTTTTCAGAGGACATCAGCACACAAGACAGACTAAAATTCACTCCAAAATATTTCTAATTAAGCAAAAAACTACCTATCAATCCCCTTCACGGATGTCCTGAGTCTCAATAAACATATCTTCTTTCCCACAAGGAATTTAACTTCACCACTGCATACCTGAAATGCACCCCCAATGTAATGGAGATTGATAGAATATTGCAATTATAGGAGCACACATCAACCAACAAAGAAGTTGCACAAGCAAAAATATCTATAATATTGTTCAAGTCAATCAATATCACTCATTCATCTCTTTCTCTGACCTTCCAGCTTCACTGTAATTTGCTAGCAAGGAAGGGCTTGTTAGAAACTTTAGGGACCCAGAGTAAATCAAAACCACATTGTTCAATACACTAAAACGCTGAAATGTAATAATCACCCATTAGAGATTATACAATCGTTTTAGGTTTTGGAAAGTTGACATGCTACAGTTTGCTGGAAGAGACATGGACATTCATATCCAGAGCCTGAAAGCCTTCCTTCCTTTGATAGATATTCATCAATTCAGGAACCTTGTCCAAGTATTTTGTCACAAACCTATCCAAGAATACCTTATCAACAGGGTCTACACATGCACATAGGCTCAAATTTTTCTTTACCAACCCCTTTGCTTGCAGAACTTTAATTACCAAACACCTTGGGATTACCCTCTTTTCCAAGCTCATAAGGGAAACCTTTGGAAACAAGGCAATATCTGTGGACTGCCAACCCATCTTTTTCACAAGAAAATCCATTCCATTCATTATTTTGCTTTTAGAGGCATTCATACAAATGGGGCATTTTTTGAACACCAACATAATGTCCTCATCAGACCACCCCCACCCCCTGAAAAGGTCAAATTTCTGTTCCAAAGTTGATTCAGTCATTGAGGCAAACACCTTCATTGCATGGATGAACCCACATTTCCGAGGATCAAAACCCATTTCAAGAACTTTCTTGACATTTTTGTCAAACTTCTCACGTTTTTGGAGGACTATAGGCGCATAACATGTTAAAATCAGTGCAATAAACGGCGCGGGCATTCCAAGTTCTTTCAGGACTGCAAGTTTTGGAGACACATTCTTTGCCAAATCAAACGTAAAGAGCCATGATTCGTTTCTAAACAATTTAATAATATTAGCATCAGAGAGTGGCACACTTTTGAGGAATTTAAAGTTAGGAATGAGTAGGTTCTCCAAACTACGACTCAAAATAGCAGAAGCTGAAGAGCAAACACTCGCAAGCTTAGCATCTGTGATCCCCAAAGATTTGAAAAACTCAAATTTAGGCAAAATTGACCTCTCAGGCTCGGCTAAAAGTAAACTAGGGCGCATTCTAACAAGTTTGGTTATATGGGAAGTCGTAAATCCCCAGTTTCTTATAACTTTTCAGGACCAAATCTGGTCGTTTAGCAGATTGAAGCTTGATTCTTTTGGAGAAAGGTTTTGCTATTTCTGGGGATAACCCACATGAGTTTATGAGGTATGACACAGTAAATAAGTAATTGTCTCTAACTTGTTCGATTTCGGTGGAGAATGATCTAATGCTAGTGGGCAACAAACTCAAACACAAATCCACATGATTAGTGCCTAAATTTTGCACGACACAACTGTAAATATTTGGTAAAACTTGGGCAAGTACTAGCCTTTTATACAGATAACCACACATCATAATCGGTGAAAAGTATTAATCACAATGTGTTGAAGGTTTTGTTCAGTATGTAGGTTTAACTCACCAGCTTGCAGAGGAGAAAAAGAAGACACTTCCGCTAACTGGTGTTCAGAGCAAATAAACATGAAAAATTGGTGCTATTACACAAGAAAATATTCTTGGATACGAAGCCTGTTGGAAAATTATTTTCATATGAGAAGCTTCAAACAATCATAGAATATCAGAAGAAAATGTTTTCACTCTTTTCTTCACCTTTAAAAATAGCTAAACCTAAAGGCAAAATTGTACCCAGTTGAGTAAAGGCAATAAATGAAAATTCTAATTTAGGGGTGGAAAAATCCGGTTAACCGGAAGCTTGAACCGAACCGGTTTTCGGTTCAAAAAAATAATTGGTCCGGTTTCGGTTAAAAACCGGTTATGTACCGAACCGAATATTCAGTTCGGTTAACCGGTTTAAAACCGATTAATTAGGATTAATATTAGGCTGTATTTTTTTTGGCCCAATTATGAATTATGGGCTGCATTTTTCGGGCCAATTCGATTTTCTCTTTTTATTTGTTTTCTCTTTTTAATTGCTAATCAAGCAATCTAAACGGCCTTGTTCTGCCCAAAAACAACAAGAATAGTTGTTTCTTTTCACTAGATATTGTACTAATCAAGTAATTTTTCTATCTTTTAATCTTGTTTTGTAATTTCCTTTTTGTTTTGTTTGCTGCACAAATTTGATATTAGCATTGAGAATTTCTATATCTACATATTCTATTGGGAGGTTTTGCATTTGTAGATGAAGAAATGAAAGCTTAAAAGCAGAGCAGAAGAGAATGGAACTTGAAGCAGAGAAAGATTGATGGTCCCAATACAGATATTTTCCATGCATCATTTATGTCTGGCCATGACAGATGAGATTAGTGATGTTGTGTTTGCTGCACAAAATCTGATATACAAAATGTGTTGATGCTTTAATGTCAAAATCCAGCAATCACCATCAGTACATATACAAATTAAAACAATTAAAACCAAAATCTTCAATGTCAAAACCCAGATCTGAAAACGTGACAACACAGATCTGAAAACCCAGATCTAAAACCCACTGGCAATAGACGACGACGACGACTGCGACAATGACGATTTCAGTTGAGCGACGACGACGTGAGAACACAGATCTGAAAACCCAGATCTAAAACCCACCGGAAACAGACAATGACGACGACTGCGACAATGGTGACTACAGCTGAGCGATGATGACATGAGAACACAGATCTGAAAATGGAGAGACAATGAGAGTCTGCCAGAGAGTAAGAGACAGAGACTGAGAGAGAATGCGAGACTTACCGTGCGGCTGTGACTACGGCGTGCGGCAGGCTGTGGTGAGAAATCTAAGAATCAGAGGATGCGATTGAGTGTAGATCTGTTGACTGTTGTAGTGTTGTGTAAAGTTGTGTTAGTGTTAGACACGAGAGTGACAAGAGTAGAGTAAAAAACATAAAAAGTAAAGACAAATAAATAATTTTCGGTTCAGCAAACCGGTTCCAGGTAACCGGATTTTATTTTGCCAAAAACTGAACCGGATTTTCGATTTTTTTAACAACCAAAAAAATCAGATTTTCAGTCGGTTCGGTTTTTGGTTTTTCAGTCTGGTTCGGTTTTCGGTTTTTTTTCCACCCCTAATTGTGAAGGACTCACAAATATTTTTTGAAATTTCATGGACTTGGGTTATTTTAGGCAAAAATTAAGGGATTTTAACATATTTCTATATTTTTTTTTTTTTTGGGATCACAAGTTACAATTCTGTTAAATTTAATAAATAAGTAAAATCCAGCCCTCACGTGGCAGCCAAAATTTGGCCACCGCGAGGGCCAAGAAGTAGCCATTTGGCCGTTGCTTTTGACCCATGAAAGGCCAAATCTGGCCACCACAAGGCAATTGTGGCAGCTAGATATGGCCTTCGCGTGGGCCAAAAGCAGTGGCCAAATAACTGCTTCTTGGCCCTCGCAGTGGCCAGATTTTGGCTGCCACGTGAGGGCAAAATCTAGCCGCCATATGGCCCTCACGCGACGGCCAAAACCTGGCCACCACGAGGGCCAAGCAACCATGGAGAGAAGGAGAGAAGAAAGAAAGGAAGGATGTGAGGAAAAAAAAGGAAGAATAAGAGAAGAAAAAAAGGAAAGAGGAGGAGAAAGGAAGGAATTACAAGTGGTGCGGTGGCTGGGTAAATTTGGTGGCTGTTTTTGGAGTTTGTTTTCGTGGATTGGATTTTTCTGTGTGTAATGTGATTTCCGGCCACCTCCCATCACCCACATCTTTGCCAACCAACTGTTTGACGAAAGGCTTCAACCACATTCATGAATACTAATTTGTTTTTGGAGTTTGTTTGATTGTTATGTTGGTCGCATGTGATTGAAGTTTCCTTTGATTACCGATGGTTGTTTGTAGTAGATCCTAACTGATTTTAGTGGAGTGGCTGGATGGTTGGAGTCTCGGAGATGGGGATGATGTGAAGGTTAAAGAAAAGGGTGTTATTGAAATAAATTTGAAAGTAAGGTAGTTATTTTTTAATTGAACTAATTTGGGGGTTAAATGGTAATCTATTAACATGTGTCACAACCTAAAAGTCCCTAAAGATGGTACTTTAATGGTGGCAATCTGGAATCTATGAAATCAGGGGTCGAAACTTGTAATTTCGCAAAACCTTGGGTGAGATTGAGAACATGCCCTTACTCTGTTAGAACCCACCATTTTCAACTCCTCTCAAACAAATCGTGTCTAGTAGTTGACCCCAATCGATTTCTCCCATTTAAATGGCGTATGATCTTGTTTCTTAACTCTTTTTTAATTTACAATTATAGCGTCTTCTACTCCTCCTAAATCAGAAAACCATGACACAAACTAATGGTAATGGAAGTAAACCCCGAAAATGTGCTACTCCATTACACTCTCGATAAAAAACAAATTAAAAAAGAGTTTAAGAAACAAGATCATACACCATTTCAATGCATACAGCAACATCCATCAAAAAGAGAAGAAAGTGGGGGAACTTTTATTTTCGGATTGACATGGACAAACAACAATTAGAGATTTGTATAACATGATTTAATCATTACTTCCTCCTGTGTGTTCATCAACTTCATTCATTTCAGTTTGTCCAATTAAACAATCAGAACTGATACAAGAAGCTCTAAGCTGTATTCGGAGCTTAATAGGTTCAGGGCCAAAGGAACTCACATTAACAAGCAACAATAAAAAGAAATAAAATCAACAAATAACAAGCTACAGTTGGTTTGTCTCAGGTTTTTGCTAAAATCCAATGCCCAGTTCTGAAAGATCAACTTTCCCTTGATATATATCAAATAGTTGTGGAACCTGTTCCTGATACTTGGACAAGAAATTGTCTGCGAAGCGCTTTTCAGAGGAACTCAGCACGTAAGACAAACCGAATTTTTTCTTAATCAAGTCGTTCAACAACAAAACCCATAAAACCCTGCATCTCGGGATGATTCTCTTCTCCAAACTATAAGCTAAAGCCATAGGTATTCTAGCAATTGCTGAAGGTTGCCAACCCATCTTGTTCACATAAAAGTCCATTTTGGTATTTATATTCTCCACAGACAGAGTCATACATCTGGGATAGCTTCTAAAAGCTAACCGGAAGTCATTTTCAGACCAACCCCAACTCCTATAAGCCTTCAGTTTTTGTGTCACTCCAATTCCTTTCAAAGCAGAGATATTGGGTACAACTTTCTTTTGCACATCATGCAAATAAGTTGCTGGCTTCCAAACATTAACAATTTCTTCATCGTTGGTAACGAAACTCTTGAGGAAATTATAGCTAGGGATACTTTGTTTCTCTAAGCTCTGGCACAAAATACCAGGGTTTGAGGAAAGTATATTCGCAAGGTCAGTACCAGAAATCCCCAGAGAATGGAAAAACTCAAGTTTGGGTAAAAGAGTTTTCTCAACCCTGCCTTAAAAGCAATTTCAGTTTTTTTTAACTAGTTTGGATATGTGGGCATCGGTAAACCCATTTTTTCTGAGAAGGCCAAGTATAGAATCTGGCTTTTCTGGGGTTTCAAAAGATACTTTCTTTGATAAAGAAGCGGCAACTTCTGGGGACAACCCACATGAGTTTATGAAATAAGACACTGTGAATGAATGTTGTTTTTCTCTATCATGTGCCACAACTTCAACCGATGAGAAAGATTTAGAAAAAAGTGATGTATTCTGCAAAACAAAACTCAAATGGATCGACGAGGATACCACATTTCTCCAATTTGGGACTAGTTGAAATTACAGTCTTTTACAGCACAAAGGAAACATGGCCAAATCAAATGCAAATTAAGAAAACAGAAGAAGAAGAGCAAGAAGGTACTCACGAATTATTCAGCTTGAACTGGGTATTTGATTGCGAATCTTTATACAAATGCCCTCGTGGAATGGCAACACACATTTGACATTTCTGATAAACTGCTTTTAGGGTTTTCACTTTTCAAATTCTCGTCTTGCATTATTGCTATCTATCATGAGACCAAAACGCACCGTATATTCAAGTTGAAACTTGAAAGGTCTTGAATCTAGAGCCGTTGTCTTACGTGGCTCATCTAATTAGGAGAGAATAACAATTTCCCACCCAAGCTTTGGCGTATTTACATTGCCCACCCAAAAACTTTGAGAAAGACAATTACCCACCCATCATTAAAATCTATCTGTTAACTTTAACTGAATAAGGACAAGATGATAAATTCAGTAGAAGCTGAAAAATCAATGATTTAAAATTTTATGTTTCGGTCCGTGTAGCAAAGCTTCCTAAGAATAAAATTATTTGCAATTCCAAATCGATACCCAAATCCAAAGCCTACTCCATCATGAGTTTCTTCAAATCTATGTTTTTTCAAATGATATTGATCCCTAACCAAAACCCGACTACGAATCCTCCAACACCAAATTACTACCAGATTAACAAAACCCAGATCCCAACACTCCTCCCAAACCCCAACCTAGCAATGAAAGTGGCAGTGATGGCTGAAGTTTTAATGGTTTAATCAAAACCCTAACCGTCAAATCTGAATCGATCATTGAAACTTGTTGTTGCAATATACAAGAGTTCAGGACGGGTCTAAGAAAGAAACTTGAGGTGGCCTAGAGATCTATAGGGACAATCAGTACCATCATTAACGAGTTTGGAAACACTGTTTTGAAAGGAACGACCTAGATCATCTCTTATGGTAAGGATGCTATCCTAGCGGTTGATGTAAAGACTTCTTTCTACTATCATATTCATACAATATATTAATAAAAATACAAGAATACTTATCAAAATAGTTAGGCCCAAAAATTTTCTTTACTAATATATACATTCTTTACATAGTATAATATCATTTGTACAAAAAGACTCTCAAAATAGTGGACAGTGTAGCCAAGTCTCCCCGCTCGCCGACGTCCATCCGACCACATCCTCACTTATATCCTACAAAAACATAGAAAACAACGGGGTGAGCACAAAGATGCTCAGTAAGTAAATCCTCTACTCCACTATCCCCGTGTATCACTCTTCAATTTTTTTTTCCTTAATCTTGTCATTTTCTCTTATTCAATCTCTCTTGTTCTTTCTCTGTTTCTAGTTCTCACTGTTCTTTTCTTTCTTTCTATTCTTTCTTCCTCTCTATTCTCATCACCCATGAGGGATATCATGATAACATGCATGGATGAGATGCATATGCACTAATGCAAAGCAATGCATTTTCTCTCTTTTCTTTTCTTTCTATTCTTTTCTTATTCTTTTCTCATGTTTTCTCATTCTTTCTCATTCTTATTCTTTCTCTTATTCTTTTCTCATGTTTTCTCATTCTTTCTCATTCTTATTCTTTTCTCATGTTTTCTCATTCTTATTCTTTCTCTTATTCTTTGCCGATCGGTCTTGGTTGATGCATGGATTCGGAACCCTTGGCCATGTGAGTGTAATCTCTCTCGTGTATAGCCTTCATTTGCATGTATTCTTACAGGATATATGAATTCTTTTTCTCATTCTCATTCCGCTCTCTCATGGCAGAGACCGCTCTCTCACGGCAATTTACATGCGGGTAATTCTACACTCACGAGTTCCCCATCACACAACCTATTCTCTTTTCTCTTCTTTAGCATTTTTTTTTTCTTTTATTCATTTTATTCTCTAGTGCTAATTCTTTCTTTCTCTTTATTCTAAGAGAATTAATTCTTTTCTTTATCTTTGTTCTTAGAGTGTTTCTTTCTCATTACTCATATTTCTTTCTTTGTTTGATGATTACACATATAAACATATGCATATGGATGGCTCATGCCTAGAATCTTTCTTATATGCATTCATGAAATGCAAATATGCTATGTTGCATAAAGTAAGGTTCTCTACTTCTATTCATGCTTCTTTTAGGCATTTCATCAAACAATATGTGTGCATACCTAAACTCTACTCTAACTATAATTCTACTTCTTCTTAACCATCCAAACATTGGAGTTCAACTCTTTTAAATCATCACACATCCTGCAAAGAAAACACACTTCAAATATTCCTCTCATATTCTTCTAAATCTATCCATACTTCTATCAAATTTTATCAACACAATCCACCCTTTTCATGGTGGAAATCTCTCCATAAATCAACATTGAACTCATTCATAAATCCATCAACTCATTTCAAACATAAAAATTCAAGCATTAATCATATACAAATCTCTATACATCATTCAATCATGCAAATCACAACTTAGGTGGATTTACTTACCTTATACTCAAGTAGAATCCACTTAAGCTCTCTACTCTTGATGGTTTGATGCTTTCTTTTAAACCTTCAATACAAACTTAGTAAGGATCCTTCTCTTACACCAATAAAATTCACATCTAGAGTAAGGATTCTTACCTTTAAGTGCTTAGGATCAACTTGTATCAAATTCTAGAAAAGCCCTCCAAAAATCCTTGGAAAAATTGAATGAAAGCTTAAGAGAATTAAAGGATGGAAGAGGCGGTGGAAAAGAAAGAATGAAAGGGTTTCTAAAGCTAAACCCTTAATATCTCATATTTTCTCCACTCTTTCCCATTTTACCCTTACTCTTTCTTAGGAATTCCAACTTTGCCCTTTAATTCTTTGCAAATGCACCCCCATTTAAACTATTCTCTATGCAATTTTCTTGCATTCACTCCCCAGTTTTCCTGCTAATTAGGGGTAGAATGGTCATTGTGCCCCTATGGAAAATCCTCTAGAAACTTCAATAAACTTTTCAACTAGCCCGTCGCCGGGGCAAAGAACTTTCCGTCGCCCCGATGAACAATTACAGAACCGACTCGCAAATCTCAAAGCCAACGTCACCGTGGCGAAGATTATTCTTCGCTCCGGCGAAGACTGAATTTCAAAAATTCACCAAGTCTCAACCAACATCAGGGCAAACACTTAACCAAATCAACTCATCAATCCAATTAAGGGCCAACCAACTGAAAATAACAACATGCAAGCTCAAATGAGAACAAATCAATAAACATTCAAGCAATACAACACAATTTAACTACGTACCTTAAGTGGGGCGTTACAGTTGATCATGAATCCAATGCATCTGATTATAATACTAATTAGAATAATAATAGTGGGCAACGTAAATCGTATAGTTGTTTTGATGCTCATGTTCGTGTGATTCAAGGAGATGTAAATACATATTATGTGGAAGATGATTATTTAAATGATTATAATTGAATGAGTAATTGGAAGCTTGTTTAAACAAAATAGCGGTGCTTGTTTGGGATGAGATTGAAGATCTTAGCAACATTGATGAGAAGAAAGTGACTCATGCTAGGAGCCCAAATAGAGCTTACTTAAGGAAGCGATTGAGTGTTGTAGAAGAAGAGGAAGACTTAAGTTGGGATATTGAAGATGTGGGCTAGAGAGATTTTTAAGTCGTTGATTTTACAGCTTCCATTGAATCTTGTACTTCTTCAGTTAAAGTCAACAGATGGATAATGATGGGTGGAAATTTGTTTTTCTTAAAGTTTTTGGGTGGCAAAATGTAATTACACCCAACCTTGGGTGGGAAATTGTCATTCTCTCTCAAAAACAATTGTAATTTTATCACATCCCTAATTTGATATAAAATTCAAAACACATTAAAAAGATGAGTAAACGACATTTTCCCACTCAAATAATGGTTTAATGACACTTTCACACCCACAAACTTTTAAAATATTACTTTACTACCCAAATTTATCTTCCGTTTTTTATTTCGGCATCGTTGCAACCCCACACACCGCCATTCTTTTCCCAATCATCACTCACCAAAACTCCTCAAACTCTGCTCTTGTCGATCTCGTCAATCGCCAGCAATTAGGCAATTAAAGTTTGTGCAACCGCGCCTCTCAAGTCATATTCCAATCAATCCCAACCATCAAAATCCAACTTTCCATCACTAAAAGACTTATCAGCCTCCCCTCTTCAATTCACCGGCAGAATATGAATTTAGGTAATAAAATGGTATTTTAAAAGTTTGTGGATAGAAAAGTATCATTAAGCCATTATTTAGGTGGAAAAAAGTCGTTAACTCTAAACAAGATGTACAAAATCCCCACTTAATTATATAGTATTTATTTAAGTATAGTTTTCTATATCGGCTAGTAGGCTCCTTGTTCCGGTTACTATAACCTTATTACATTCTTTATGACATTTTTTTTTTTTTATTGTGATCTTAAAAGTTCTTTTTGTTTTTTTAACCTGGTTACAAGTTGGGAGATTTTTAAATTATTTTTGTTTTTGACTTTCAATGTGAAAATTCAACTTAGTTTGATAATGTTATTTTATTATTATTTTAATATATCCTTGCAAGTAGACTTTATTTATATTTATTTTTTAGTTTTTTTTTTTTTTTTTTTTCCTATAAGAAGCTTATTATGTTTATGGGTTATACTAGATGGGTAGCTCCTTATTAATACCTAAAAAGATGTATCCATAATTTTAAATTTAATAAAATATTGAAATGATGATTTCTATAAAAACCTCAACATGTTTAATTTCTTTTTTTAGCTAAAACTCTATCATTGTGTTAAGGTCTACAGGGTAAGGGATGGTTTTGGGTAGGGGTGTATTTGAGCCAAGTATATGGACACTTGAGCTCG